GTTAATAGTTGAAAATGAATTTCATTTTAGGATCTTGGATTGGAAACTGCACGCAGCAGAGACCATCTGAATATGGAAATGAATTTCATGATAAATTACATTGTTTGGACCAATCAAAATAGCATAACACGATTGATCGACCAATCAAATTACTGATTTATAAAAGTTTAGGGTTCAAAGGGATTCAAGAAATATGTTATGAAGCAAAGTATGATCTTCTATTTTCTTAAAGAATTTTTTACATTTCGTAGAAAGGATAAGACACATGAGCCTTATAATATGTGGTTATTAAGCTGCGGACTGCCTTTGCAAATTTTATATAAACATGACTTATGGTTTGATATTTACTTCATCCTTTTCTTTCCTTTCCTTTTTTTTTAAAAAAAAAAATAAATACAATTGCATAATTATATAATTAAAAAATAAATGATGGCTTATTTCATTAATAAAGTATACATTCTTGTACTTGTTTTTGGAATCATTGCAGCGCTGGCAAGGACCCATCATAATGAAGTTGCAAACAACCACTTTAACAAAAGAAATTTGCATAAACGAGACGCCATTACTGTATTCAAAGTAGTTACAATAACGGAAACAGCTACATCTACAATGTCAATTGTTTCAACGGAAACAGAAACAACAATGAAAACAGCTACATCTACAATGTCAATAGTTACAACGGAAACAGCTACTTCTACAATGTCAATAGTTACAACGGAAACAGCTACATCTACAATGTCAATATTTACAACGGCAACAGCTACATCTACAATGTCAATTGTTTCAACGGAAACAGAAACAACAATGGAAACAGCTACATCTACAATGTCAATAGTTACAACGGAAACAGCTACTTCTACAATGTCAATATTTACAACGGCAACAGCTACATCTACAATGTCAATAGTTAAAACGTCAACAGCTACAACGTCAATATATATCACAAAATTCGGGCGCTGCCCATGAAATTTTCTTAATTTTTATAGTTTTTATGTTTTTTAAATTTTAAATTTTAACTTATTAGGTTTTAGATCTTGTAATAGAGTTTTAAATTTATTTAGTTTTTAAGTTTTTTTTTTTAATTTTTAGATTTTTAGTTTTTAGCTCTTCAGCTTGGGTATGCAGTCTTAATTTTATTTAGTTTTTAAAATTTTTAAATATTAATTTTTTAGTTTTTAGCTTATAAGCCTAGGAAATACTCTGGGAGTGTAGTTTTGATTTTATTTATTTTTTAAATTTTTTAAAGATTAGATTTTAACTTTTAAGTTTGAATAATACTTTAGAATATAGATTTAAATCTATTTAATTTAGATTTTCTTTGGCCTACTCTAGCTAATCAATTAATTTATAATATTAATAGTTATATTATATAGAAAATTAGATATAGTTTTATATTAATATCTGTTATAGTAGCATAAATATAGTTTTAAAAATTTTAAATATAGAATTTTTTCTATTTATTAAATAAAATTCAACTATAGTATTTATTAATAAAAAAACATCTATTTTAATTTTAAATTTTTTAAATTTTAGCTTTTTAGTTTTTAGCTCTTAGTTTAAATTATTCTTAAATAAGTATAATTTAAATTTATTTAATTTTAAGTTTTTAGATTTGAAAATATTTTAATAAAATAGTTTATATTTGTTTAATTTTCAATTTTTAAATTTTAATTAATTTTTTAGCTTTTAGATTATACAAACAAAACAAAATATATTAATATGGCTATAATTTTAATAAAGTATTTGCTCAAAAACTTACTACTATAGCAACAAATACAACCACTACTATTGCTAATACAAAAATTTAAAGAGATCTAAATATCTTAAAATTCTTGATTAACTCATATCTTGCTTATTATATAGACTTCTACTATAAATTAAATTAAAATAACCTCAGAAGTATTGAGTTTTATACTGAAAACAAAGAACAAAGAACTTTTGTCATATATAAAATTTACTAATATACGAATATTTAATCTAAGATTATATAATCAAAGTCTTTTGGTTTTGTAATCTTGAATATATATATATAAGACTAACTAAGATAGTTTTTATAACTTTAACTATAACTTCTAAGCTTGAATTAAACACTATACTACTTTTTCAAAGTGTCAAATCATAATATAAAATAAATTAGACCTGTATTTTTTAACTTGCAAAGATTTATTTGCAAAAAAATAACCAAGATATAGCTAAAGCTTTAGAATAACTAATAACTAATTAGATCAACTAGTTATAGAATAATAATAAATAAGATTTATTCTTTATACTGAACAAAATCTTTTAACTAAAGATAAAGAGTTCAACTACAAGAGACTTTTAACCAATCTTTCAATATAATCAAACCATATAAAGATTTATAGTATATATCTTGATAATACTATTATATTTTTTAAAAATTTTAATAAAACTTAATATTATCTATAAGAAGTTTTTACTAGAATTAGATAAGCTAAACTACAATTAAATATTAAAATTATAATTTTTAGATAAAAGATTACTATTTTTAGCATTAATATTAGAGTTATATCATATAACTCTTTCTAACAATTCTCTAGACAATGTAACAAAACTGAACTACAGAAAAATACTATAGGAAGTTTTAAGATAAGCACTATTTTTAGTTCTGTTTCTAAGTAAACAGTTGTCAACAAAGCCTAAAAATATGAAATATTGAAAAATAGATGTAACTTGAATAGTTTTCTTAGTTTCAAACTTGTTATTACTGCAATAAACTATTCAAGATATTTGGTATCCAAAAAAAAGTTTTATTCTAAGAATTAAACTTATCTTTGAATAGATTACTATTTACAAAGCTTGAAAGATATGAAATATTGAGAAGCAGGCATAACTTAGTAGTTTTTCTTGAGGTCAAGCTTTTTTGTATTGGTGAACTCCCCAGAATAGATCGGAAGAGCACACGTCTGAACTCCAGTC